ACACTTAGCTAATGGATTACGACATAACACAGTAATTGCTATTCTCTTTTTATCTAGATCGTGTCTTTATCTACACTTTTTCATCTAGACACTCACCAAACTGAGTCTCGCGAACAATGGAATCGGAGATGTTGGAACACAACATCTAGCTGATGCATTAGAACACAACACAGTAGCTGTCTTTCTCTCTTTATCATATCCTTACTGCCATTTTTTCATTTAGACACTCACCACGCTATATCTCTGGGACAATGAAATCGGAGATGAAGCTAATCATATAATCTTGGAATTTCTGGAACGCAACAGAAGTGGGGGATAATCATGATCGTGAATCGGAATATTAGATATTTTCCGATGAAGAATAAATAGGGGATGATGTTGTGTATATTTTTATTGTGTTGTAATATTTGAAATAATAATAAATAAAAGTGCTCATTTTCGAAATTAGTGTATTCCGATGATAAATTTTTCTTACGTTTTTCGGTATGTGGTGAAGAGGTGATGTCTTAAAAACGATAAATATGGTTTTTCCGAAATATATTGTTACTCTGTAATACTTGAGGGTGTGGGTGTAGATGTGCGAATGGGGGATAGGATGTATGAGAGATTGAGAACAGTCACCTACATCCACACCCACCCACCCTCAAGCACTATCGCATTTAGTTATATTATTTTATTTTATACTTAACAATATAATATTGTTTTAACATCGAATTGGACTGTATTTCTCTTATAATTAAAAGAAGACGCATTTGTTGTCAATCGAGTCTAACTATGCAAATTTCCCTATTGGGAGCCTCATTTAGCTTCTTTCTCTTTCAATAACTTCGGTTGTTTACTGATAACTAATAATTAAAGAAGATTTAGAAGTGTATAACACTACATTAGTCAAACATTACTTCTACTAGAACAGTGTCGTCTTAACGATCAGCATAAACACTCCATGTTGAGGGTATGGGGGTATATATCTTCTCATGCTCAGAACTATATTCTCCCACACCCTTTTTATGATAATTATATTCAGATATTATAAATAAAAAGTTTTGTTGTTGTTCTTTCTTTTATTTTGATTAATAAATAAAAGACTTTGTGAATGGAATGAATAAAATATTCAAAAAAATATTATGTTGATAACAGTTCTCTTTCGATCCGAATCCGGTTAAAACAAGGTTTCCAGATCTCGACCCGGGCGAGCAGGGTCTGGGTCGGACTCTGATAGTGGTGGTGATGCTGGTGCTGGTGCTGGTGGCGGAACTGATTCTTCTTCAACAATACTATCATTATTATTAGCTGATACTGTATCGATATCTTTCATTTTCTATATATAAAAAGAAATAATAATAATTAGTTTATTGTTCGATATTCCTTTTGCTTAATAAATACGTTCATCAAGGTTTATTCATAATACTTCAAAAGAAAACAGAATCGCTTGTTTTAACTTCATGATAAAGTTATGTGATCCGTATAAATATAGATTGTATATGTCATATATCAAGTTAAAAAAAAGCAAATCAACAAGAAATGTGCACAGAGATGAAGTATTTTTATAGCTAAGTAGACGATTTTATCGTTTCTTTTGAATTCATAATGAACACATTAAAATAATAATAGAAATATGATGTTTAGAATTTCAATCTATACTAGAAATATTTTTTATACGAGAATAACTAAATGTCCTTGCGTTAAAACTAACAAATTGATTTTTATTTCTATATAAAAAAATAATAAAAAGAAAAATCTTTTTTTCTTACCCCACCAGCAGCTAAGATTTTTTGTCGAAAATCTGGATCAGGATCATAAAATGTATAACGATATTTTCGTACGTAACTTTCTTTTTGTCGATTTATATGGCCTTCAGGATTGCTATGTAAATCAAGATCATATTCAATACGAAATTTTTTAGGGGCTTTTTCTGTTCTAAAAAATATTTCAATTGGCTAGAATAAAAACAAAGACAGATCATAGAGTCAAAAAAATTACAAAATTAAAATAATTATACCAGATGAAAACCAGCATAACCTGATTCTTGTATAACAAATGGTGTTGCTTTTAGTTCTAAATTTAAATAAATTTATTGTTTTTTTCTTCAAATAAGATGTGTTCTTTTAACCTCGCTTATTATCTGGATATTCTGGATGAAGATAAAAGACACAACGTTGTACAAGACAACTTAAATCACCATGAGCATCAGCTGAACGTACATAAACTTCCCAGTCATGAGTACGTGGTGGATTATGAGTAGTTGTTGGTTCTGCTCGAATTGTTGATGTATGTCCAACTAGCAAATCAATTTTAACAATCTATTTACAGATTAATTAATTTAATAATAAATTATACATAGCAAGATAAATAACAGACCTCACTATCATCATCAAGGTCGATCATTCTGTATATTTTATTTCTATCGATCTAAAAACATATTTTGTAGGGCAAGAAATGGTTACTTTGATTATTTCCATTTCTTGTAATACAACATATTCTAGAAAAAATACTTCAATGATATCCTTTAGTTCGTCACTTGGAAATAACACATTTCAATATAAGTCAAAAAAAAATAGAAGAAGAATGCATGAAGACAACGAAAGGAAAGAAAGAAAATACTATATGATCATGTATATGAAAAAATAGCATATAAACGAAGTGAACTATCAGAAAAAAATCTATATACTTCAACTCTACATCTTTCTCGAGCGGAATAGCAGAAGTTATGCATATTCATCTGCGCGGAATGAGACGTGACGACTTATACATCAGCGTGCGAGTATGCAACACGTCGAAAGAAACGTTGCATAGCAAGTAGAATAAAGACAGATTTTATATTACAGATAAAACCGGAAAAATAACTACCCAGGTCAATCAATCAGATAATAAGATCAATCTCAGATACGATTATACAAGATCATACGAAACATCATCGTTCCAGATTTCTTATGTTAATTCTTTAAATAAGTTTCGTATCAGAACTGAGAAACTGATCTTATAGTAGGACTCACACTGGTTTCGTTAAATTTTTGTTTTACACATACACTGTATCAGTTAAACTTTAAAGTCAGAATAAATTTAGTCATATATCAATGAGAACATTTTATTTGCAAGCCAATTTTCCCAATAAAAAAAGCAGTTCTCGTTAAACAATAATATGAATAAAATAATATTAACCAACGTAAGAAGTAATAGAATAGAACTAAAACAAATGTGTAAATATATCTATAAAAATAAATATAAAACTAAAACAAAGGTGTAAATATATTTATATAGAAATATAGAAGTAAAACAAACGTGTAAACATATCTATATAATAAATATAGAAGTAAAATGAAGATCTAAAGATATCTATATAGAAATATAGGAATGAAACAAAGATTTTATTTTAATAATGATTAACATTTGTATTTAAGCTGATATGGTGCAAAAAGTTCATTGTCTTTATAGTGTTATATCTCAAAAAAAACTACAGCGGTTTTTACAGCCTATTATCATTGAATTTTCAGTGATCTAAAAGTTGTGGTAGAAGACAAGAAATTAAGATTTTATTTGATGGATCGTTTTTATTTGTTATTAGCTTAGCTTAAATTTTTTTTCATTATTTGTAATAGTAATAAAGACTATACCATAGTATTAGGATAGTTTAATATCATAAAATAAATTAAAATGAGCAGAGACTTTGATAATCAATGAATGTATAAAAGAACGCTGAACTTTCCCGAGGTAGATTAAACTCTTGGTAAATATTTAAAATTCTTTTTGTAAAAATTCATCTGTTGCAATATCTGTTAATAAAAATAAATATTAGTTTTATTTTAATTTGACGCATACGTATTTTATAGACAAATGTAAAGGGTTTTCAGAAAAGTCGTTGCAATATAGTATTGATCTTTTCTCGCTTCAATGTATTTTACACAAGTTTCCTTTTCTTAATAAATTTCAGGGATAAATTAGTGATTTAACGATGTTTACTTATCAAGTTTAATTTCGTTTTACTACCTCACTATTGTGAAGCATTAGCTTTGACAGTGCCATTTCATCCATTGTATTATATGTTTCATCTAGTCTGATTCAGATCGGATCTGATAAAATCTTGTAAGCAACACCCAGTCCGATCCAATACGAATCTCATTGTCTGATTTTTGTAAGATTTTAGCTTGCATATGACGTTCAGAATCTGCTAGAATCTTGAAAAAACCAACGTATATGATATTGTCCGATTTTGTATCAAGATCACATGAAAAATCTTGAACGCGTCAGATCTGGCAATATCTGATACGATCTTAAGTCTGTTTTTTTAGCCTGGGTACTTCGACGACTTTTTTTTTATCGTTTAAGGACGAAAAAATCTTCGCCTATGGTAAATATTGACTCACGACATTCGTTTCAAGCTACTATAAAACAAAGATAATGATTGTTGCTGTGGTGGAGACGAAAACAACGATTGGAAAAAAGCGACATGGAGAGGTGTCAGCTAGGGTGGGTGGGTGTGGATGTGCGAATGGGGGATAGAATGTATGAGAGATTGAGAACAGTCACCTACATCCACACCCAGACCCTATTAGTAGCCAACTCTACTTGAAATTAAACTGAAAAAATAAAAATAATTTGAATTTCGAAAAAAGTGATCCATGTGTCGCAAAGTACGATACATGTGACACGTTAGTATGATATATGTGTATATGTCTAATAATTCATCGTATAAAGAGCAACTGATTGCACAAGCCAAAGTAATTATTACCTTCCATTTGTTTCAGTTTTTTTAAAGAGAGAAAACTCTTTAACTACGCTTTTTAGTTTGTTTTTAATGATTAATATTTCGTTATATATGTATGTTGGTTTTTTCCGACCGACAATGTATATTTCGTCATTTTGAGAATGATTCATGTTCGTCTTGTTTATTGACATTTATAAGAAAATGATTGCAACAGACGCATAAAAGTATTCTTTCGTTCGCTGTAAATAATCATATTTTTTTAATTCTGACAAGCCACAAGCTGATCACAAATTTGACGATGGAAGAAGGTAATATTGATCGAGATCGTATCGTTGATGGAGATCTTGTTGATGACGATCTTTTTTGTCCAATATGTCAATGTCTTCTATGGAAACCATGTGGCTGTAGTAAGTGTCGACATCTTTTTTGTCAAAAATGTCTTTATACATGGCTTGAAAATCCTAACAGTGCTAGAAGATGTCCATTTCGATGTGAACCATTTGAAGAACAAGATTGTTCAATGTCTATTCAATCAAGATTGAATTGTTTAAATATTCATTGTCGAAATTTAGAATTTGGTTGTACACAAACTCTCTCCTATAATTCATTAGAACAACATGAAAATGTTGACTGTGAATATCTTAGTAAACGATGTTCGGAATGTGATCAGTTAGTATTGATGTCGAGAATGGATGAACATTGTGAGATGCCGGGATTATGCGTTCCACATCCGGTCAAATGCACTGCCTGTCAAACTTATATTGAAAAACTAGTTTTCAAAGATCATTTTCATGAATGTTTTCTAAATCGAATGATTACGTTAGATATACAAACAACAATGAATCATGAGCAAGGAGCATCTTCCATATGGTTACGAACAATTCTTTGTGGGTTGAATGCTATAAACCTTCTTGAACAACAACGACGATTCTCACCAGTACCAACAGATTTAATTGGAGTCGACGCAGTACGACAAGCACGAGAACGACGATGTGGATTTTTTTATCATATGTTTATAATGTTAACATTTGTTTTGGCTAATGGATCTAAAGCTCCATTTTTCATTCTAGCATTTTCAGCTATTGGATTTGTGCAATGTACAACTATCATTCTCATCATGTACGGTTTTTTTCTTGTACGAATGCGTGCTCATATTTATCGAGGTTGCTATGTCATTATGTTGATCAGTTATATTTTAACCTACGGCATTTTGTTACTATTTCGATTTGTATCTGATTCATTGATTATCTACTTGCTAGGACTCTTTTCATTTCTTTATGGTTGTTCTAATCGACTGATATCAATGGAATTATTCGAAATGCATCCAATGTTTCATATGACAAAGATAAATATTGCTCTTTACTGTGCTGTTTTATTAATCATGAAAATATTATTGTTACTTTGTCGATTTTATTATTGGTGTATACCGATATATTTAATCGCTGGTGTTACTGCTTGGATCAATTTTTCTATTGCTTTTCATACAAAACCTGCCTCACGAAATACGACAACATAGACAACAGACTTAAGATTTATTTCATACATCTATAGACATTCCAGTTTTCTTTTTAAGTTCTTTTTTATACAATCTTGTAACGATTATAAATCTATTCAGGATGTGAGACAAATATGCAGTTTCGAATTTTCACTATAGCTTGTGTTTGACCGAATGAATAGTTAAAAGATTAATATAAGTACTGCGTACGTATTAATGCAGAAGAAAATGTGAACAAGAATTTATGGCAAACATTTGCTTGTATATCTGATACTAAAGAAATCCATGTATCAATTAGGAAATCTCTTTAAGGACAAAAACGTTTTTTCGAGAGAAGTTTTGCAGCAATTCACTTGAGGTATTCTTGAGGGTGTCGATATCTCTTCTGTTAGCTCATACCCACATCCACACACTCAATTGATAGACATACACGTGGATAAGTTTAATTTTTTTTCTACGAGATTTATATTATTTGGTGACATGAATTTCATTTTAACATCTCTTTATATTAAATTTTACTTCATTTATGTCTACGTGATAAAGAAGCTGAAGCATACGATGAAAATAGTTGAGTACTATGACCTTTTTTTTTTAATATTTTTCAAATACCCTTTTGTTTTTCATTTTATCTTCTGATGTTAAAAGCATTTATTCACATCTAGATATATGCAGACTCCTAATGAGTGCTTTATTATTTTAATAAATAATGCAAAACATGTCAACAAGGAAAATATCTTTCATTCATCTACATATATCTATATATCATTTTTCGTAAGCAGTGGCGATTAATGTTCCAATGAAAAGGTGTTTGCCGGTTTTATCTGTCGTGTGCGTTGAGCGATCATTTTTGTTACCAATCATAAAGTTGTCCAATTCTCATTCGAAATGGAATTACGCAGCTAGTTTTAAATATGTAGATTAATTTGTTTCCATGCCATTTAAACTCTTTAAAGAGATTCTTCATCGTCAACTATCTTATTATTTTCTTTTGCTGAAAATATTAATTGAATTATAATAAGATTATCATAAATAATGCGCCTAAAGTTATATTAATAAGTCTGGAAACGCTTTTCATCTCATTAAACTGGTAGAGAAAAATATATATAGAAAATAATGAGACGAACGGCTAGAGGAAATATTTTTCTATTCATTTTATTATTACTAAGTTAGATAGTGGTCCATCAGTTAGGTAAGAATACGTAGCTTGTATTTTTTTTAAACAATAAATCTAAACAATGTCAAATGCAAGCAGTAATTCGAATGTACTTACAACCGTAACTGTACCAACATATGTTGGAACAAGTGTAAATGAAATTCCTCTGATTGGAAGATTCTGGATATATCTCATATCAAATTGTGCATCATTTATTTGTTCTATTTTTGTTCTCTATTATTTACTATTTAACAAGAATCTTCGAAGTGGACTTAATAACCATGCTTTCATAGTTGGTCTTATCATTAATCTTTTTGCACTGGTATTAGATATTCCACTGGTTTTATATTATCTGTATTATGGAACTGTTTGGATACAAGTACCATTTATTTGTCAACTTTGGAGATATATTGATGCAGCATCTTATACAGTACTACCTAAATTAGTTGCATGGGCTTCATTTGAACGGCATATTCTGATTTTTAATGAACAACGACTTTTACGATCAAAGAATCGTATTTTATTTCATTACATTCCTATAGGTATAATCAGTAGTTATCACATTATTCTCTATATGATAATAAACTTATTTGTACCTTGTCATAATATATTTAATTATACACAAAATTACTGTGGATATTCGAGTTGTGTATATCAAACGGCATATGGTCTTTACGAGTTTTTCTCAAATGGAGTATTCTCATCTGTCTGTATTGCTTTCTTCAGTATCACTCTAATTATTCGGGTTATCTATCGCAGATATCGTGTACATCGACATGTAGATTGGCGCAAGCATCGAAAACTAACACTTCAACTTTTATTTGTTGTATCAATATTTTATATCTTTTATTTTCCTTTGGTTATATTAGCTGTTTGGCGTTCTATTATTGGCATACCGAGCTTTGGTTCTCAATATTATGTATATGGAAGCTTTTTTTCTGATTATATTAATTTTCTCTTTCCTTTTGGATGTGTTGGTACAATACCTAAACTTAAAACAAAAATCACAAAGATATTATTATGTTGTAAAATAAAACCAACTGCTGTTGCTCCACGTACAGTGACAAATCAGCAACGACTAACTGGCCAAAAACCTATTATAGCAAATACTGCTTTATAATCATGAATAAAACATGACAAATTAAAAACAATATAAATGTCGTAAATCTCTTTTAACAAAATAAATTTTTGATGAAATAAAAATATTTACAAAAAAATCGAATTGTTTCTAAATGAATAGACTGTAGCGTGAGTACTCATGTTTCCCTTCTAGCAGAAAAACGAATCATCTAAAATGAAATACGTCAAGGCCTAAATAATGCTATGTGTTGATTTTATACAGAAGAAATATTTTAAAAGACAAGGGGCGCTTAATACGTAAAACGGCCCTAACAGAAGAGGCATCATCTGATGTGTAAAGCACACATATACATGTTATTTTAATGTGTAATACAGAATCTTGTATTTTTTTTAATTTCTAAGTCAATGAGTACCATATACATATCGAATTCTCAGTGTGATCTTTTCAGATAAGAATACATTAGTAATTTGCAATATACTTTTTTTGAAGAAAACTACAAATTTTGTTATAGATCATATTTAAAGATACTTTTATTGTTTGTTAAGTATGTTTACAAATGAAATAATAAGCACAGCAACGAGAAAAAAAATAGGATAAAGTATACGTATACTGTTATATAGTTATTATATTTTATTAATTTTTATAAGATTGAATTAAAATTAATATTAGTTGATGCTGATGATGATGACGATGATGATGATGAATTTGATGATATAATTTGTTCATCTAAATGTGTTTTTTTATGTAATTTTAAATGAACAAGTTGTGTAAAACGTGCTGAACATGAATGATTTGGACATAAATATGGTTTATCTCCAGTATGTAAACGAAGATGTGTTTTTAAATTTGATGTTGATGAAAATCGTTTTGGACAATATGGACATGAATGTGGTCGTTCACCTGATTAGAAATATTTCTGTTAAATAAAAATAAATTTTCTTTTTTTTACCTGAATGAACAAGTGTATGTTTTTGAAGATGAGCAAATTGTGTAAATGATTTCGGACATTGTGTACATACAAATGGTCGTTCATTTGTATGTGTTCTTAAATGTACTTTAAGATTTGATAGTTGACTAAATGTTTTATGACATTGTACACATTCATAAATAATTTTTCCATTTTCTTTTCGTAATGGATATGGTAAAGATTTATGACCACGACCATGAACTACAGTTGTATTTATTGTTGTTGTTGTTGTTGTAGATGATGATGATGATGATACTGTTGTTGTTTTTGGTAAAGGTTTTTCACCTAAAATTCTTTCAATAGAAAAATTTAATTGCGTTGAATTATTTATATTGGAATTTGATGAAGATTTTTCAGAACCTATATCAATAGACAAATGAGAAAAAAACTAAACAAATACTAGATAAATTTACTAATTGGTTGAATAGGTTTCTTTTGATGGTGATGATTTAAATTTGATATTGAATAATTTCTTTCATCAACAGATTTTAATGTTCCATTTGATGAAATTGTCTGTAAAGTATATGGAAAAAGAAATGGCAACTATGATAAAAGTAAATGATTATATTAAAAAAAGTTTTGTAATTCTGAATCTTACACGAAGATCTCGATGAGCAGAATATTGATGAAATGGCCAATAGACATGTGATTGCTAGAAAAATGTTTAATATAAAATAACAAAAATTACATTTTGGATTTATGCTTACCTTTTGTTCGCTAAATCTTCCTGTTGATTGTGATGTTGTCATACGATGAAGAAATTCATTGGATGGAATTATTGTTCCATCGGAAGTTTTAATTGTAGGAATATGACAATATGGATACTGTTTATTACGAATCATATCTTTATAGAAGAACACACTTTTTTTCTACCATTATTTTAATTTTTGCAAGCAACATGTAGTTGCAATTACTAAGAAGAAAAGAAAGTTAATTATTTGTTCCAAGAAAAAGAGAAAGAAGAAGGAGAAAAAAAATGCGGAATTTTCATCCAATCAATTTTCTCTCCGAGAATAACTTTTCTCTCTTATTTCTTTTTACATTAAACCAATGAGAACAATAGCAATTAATCTCTTGATGAAAGATATTTCATATGTTGACCGGTCTACTCTATTATAAAATAAACATTCGGATATACATATATACGTAGGAGTATATTGATTGACTGTGCTTCTATATAATTGATTTCAACTATATCTATTACATGATTTAGAAAGAAAAGTTTAAGATAATGTTTTTCATGATCACATACAAGTGTATTTTCAAATAGAAATAATAATAATAATAATATAAATGCCCACTTGAAATTGTATGAATAGACAATCTGTTCTGGTATATAGAAAAAAAAAGAAATGTTTTTTTTTTCCTTGTTGAACTATGTTGTATATATTTTTATAAATTAAATGAAGCGAAGATGAAATCTTGTAATCGACAGTGTCAGTTTTCTATTTTGATGAAAAAAAAAGGAGAAGAAGAGATCTGAGAAAATTTAATTTGTGGGTAAAGCAATGGGAGAACTGTCATTTGTTTGAATAGATTCATTCTATTTGTATTTGTCTCTTGTTAATTCATGCTTAAACTTGATTCGTTTGTATTCGCGTCATAAGTTAATCAGTGTCAAATGGTGTAATCATCGACTTTCTTCTTTTCCTCGATGAAATTTGAGAACAATAACCAAAGCAAATCGTTTGAACATAAAAATAGGGGTGGAGTCATGTCGCCGTCTTTCTATATATATACATAGAATCGATAAGAAGAAGAAGAAGAAAAAAACTGCGACGTATGAAGTGCTGTCAAATGGCATTTTGCTTCTGTTGTTGATAAGAAATGAGTCTTTGTCTTATTGTCACCCCTTCTGTGCATATTCTTTTTCTTTCTTTTCAATAATCATCAAGATAATTAGAGAGAGACTAAAAGTCACCTTTATATTTATATATGTATGAAAAGGTGTAGAGATAATGAAATGTACTAGAAAATTCATTTTGACATGCGAAATATCAATAATATATTTACTTAAAGAAAAGAAAAAAAAAAGATTCATAGCAAACAAGAAGATTGCTTGAGAAAATAAATAAATATACATATATATGTATAGATTCTCTCATCAATCATAGAAGAAGTGCTGAAAGATGCAATAAAAGATATCATTAACATAAAATAGAATGTCTATTTTCTTTTTTTTAATTTTTTTCGTCTTCTTCTTCTTCTACTTCTTTCTCTTAAACTCGAACGGATGTTGATGGCATTGTTGTATATCGATTATGATTTTGTTGACATTGTTGTTCATGTTGCATTAAATTAGTTCGATCACCTGAAATTTTTTTATGACATATTGTACAATGTGATAAATCATCAAAAAAAGGATCATTATTAAATGATGGCTGTACAAATACAATATTTTGATGTTCATATATATCAATTAATTCATTAACAAACCAATCATTTGTCATAGTTGAATGTATAACAGGAATATTTGCTGAAAAACGTTTTGTTGAAGGACGTTTAGGTTGTTGTTGTTGTTGTTGCTGTTGCTGTGGCGGTGGTTTAGAACGAGTTTTTGGTGTTTGACGAAATATATGATCATTACTAAAATATATCGGTGACGAAGAATGAACATGACGTTGATGATTAGAATCATTATTCATTGTATTAAAAAGATGCGTATAAAGATTACGATAGCTAGGCGAATTCATCATTTTGGATGTAAAATCTGAATCTTGAAAATATTGAATATCATTTATTATTTCAAATGGATCTACAGGTGGAGATATAAATTGTTCAAATATAGGAAAATTAAATGGTTCTAAATAGAAAAAAAAAACAATACAATCAATTAGTTATTATTATTATTATTTATTGATACATACTATTTTCTTTTTCTGCTTTTGATTGGCCATAACTCATATTTGTTGCAGATCCATAATATGTATTTTTCTTTTGTTGTTGTTGTCGTTGTTGTTGCTGTTGCTGTAGCTGTTGACAACGATGATCATATTCTCGTCGTTGATTATCATCAATTAATATATCATAAGCTTGTTTAATTTTTTTAAATTTATCTTCAGCATCTTTAGCTTTATTTCGATCAGGATGCCAAGTTAATGCTAAACGTTTATAAGCTGTACGAATATCTGTTGGTGTTGCATGTCGATTAATACCTAATTCTTTGTAATAATCAACATGTGGTAAATTTGAAACCATAGTATGTTTTTTTATTGTTTTAAATGGACAAAAAGTCTGGCTTTTTGTTATAAAACTGGAAGAGAAAAAATGACGACTAAGCAAGTAAGAAAAATATTATATGTTATGTCCTTCTATTCAACAATCTAATGAGTATAGTAACAGTAATATCGTATACTTTTGCCTAGTGGTGAACATGAATATATATATACACATATGAATATGTATACATATATATATATATATATGTATTCGATGCAAAGATTGATAATAGTAGAAAAAAGGAAGAAAACGAAGCATGAAGGTAACTGAATGAGTGTGTCAAAGTCCTTCGCGATCATTTTTTCTTCATGCAAAAACATGGTGGTCATGCTTGACCTGTTGTTGATCATGATAATGGTAAAGATATGATACGTTTTGTACGCTGGTATTGTTATTTAAGCCCTCGTGAACATACTAGTAACGGTTAACCGCATTTTGAATACGAAAAAAACTGATATGAATAGACGTAAAAAATATAAAAACTCCGTTACATTTGTGGTTGTTATATATATATACATATTTATATACGAGTATATGGTCAAATATTCAATATGATTAATTTATGTGAACGTTTAAAATATTTTTAAATGACTATATCTATGAATTAATTTAATAGGATTGTATTTTTAATATATTTTAGTTTATAATTATATTAAATTATCATTGATATGTTACTCTATGATTGATATATGTATCCTTCTAACAAAACCTTAGTATGTAACATTAATTTTTTGATCGTCTAGCATGTTTAATGAGTCATGTCGTGCCTTATTGATTTTAAATAGTTATCGAAAATCAAAAGTGTCTCAAAACAAAATGAACAGCCTTCTCATTAATTACAATGGAGAAAAAAACAATAGAATTTCTTGAGATTAAGAACTTAGAATTAGATATACATTAAATTACTATAAGATAATTGTATAAATTCTAGTTATACGTTGAAAATGTGATAAACTGATTGAAGAAAGGTGAATGACCTTATTTCTTTTTCTTTTGAAAATTACGTTTAAACTCTGAACCTTCGCATCCGCTTCAAGACCAAGTAGATAAATCTTTTAGATCCTTGTCTAGACATTGTCCTTGATTATTATCTGACGATGTCGTACCTATCTTAATAATCTCTACAGATGTCGCAATTATTTCTCTTATAAAATATCAACGAATTATATTTTATATATATTTAAAAAAATGAATGAATAAAGAATCCATCTTTGTTCTGTTCTGTTCATCGTTTTATATTCAAACTCAGATAATAATTTTTTTCGTCAATTATTTACCATTACTTTCATATATTATATATTCACTAAGTATACAAAATACTATTCGAGATTAACAAAATGATAAAAGTAACTATAGATATGTATTTTTTTTGCTCGAATAAATCATTCAGTTTTTTTTAGATACAATCAAAGATTTTCTTAATGAATTTGAAATTGATACAGTTGATGATTATGTGAACAAACAACATTAGTTATTAATATTGCGACTATTATTTTTTGAAGTTGTTCAAGAAATTTTACATAAATATAAACATAAAGAAGTAAATTAAAATATAGCTTTAAGCAAAAGAAAATTAATTTTGACTATTTAGATTGAAAATAAAGATGTACTTGATGTTTATATTGAACATTAATGAAACAATGTATGCATCATATTTCTGATGAAAAATGTGGTTCAATGACTCGTTATTCTGAAGAATTTATGAAACGATTGTAAAATAAATGAATAATCAAGTTTTTACATGCAATCACTATATCGTATCGAGGAGTAAATACACGTTTGTCAATCACGTGATCATATTGCTGGATTTTTATCAAACGATACAAGGTCTTTTGTCAGGTATATTACTTGAAAAATGAAGATGAAGAAATGAATAAAGTTGAATTAATTTATTTATTTACTGGTTTGTTTTAATTTTCTTGTATTTTTAGAAAAAAATTGATATGATCGATTGGCAATAAGTGTAGCACCAGAAATTTATGGATATGAAGACGCTGATAAACCACCACAAGGAATAAAAGTCTTAGGTATGTTCAATAAATATATGGAATGAATATTATTCTTACTCTTGTCGATAGTTGTATTCAGTCACTTATTGCAATCCTACAGTACCATAGATACCAAATTATGATTGCTTGATAGATTTCTAATTTGATACATGAACCATTTTAATAAAGAATGCCTATCTCTCTGGTTGTAAACATACCTTATCTAATATTTAAAAAGATATGCTGATATTGTCTATTAATTGATTTTTTTTCTTGCTATCGGTCTGTGAAAATTTTCGAATCAGCATGGTTTAAGACTGTCGAATCGTAGTTGAATAAATAGCGAATAGTAATTTAAATGTGAAATATATGGTCACAAGCATTTTTGTATACGCAATTATATTTGACTAAATTTGATTCATGTAATGATCATATTTTCCGGTATAATATCTGTGACGTGATCAATTTGATTTCGAACAATTATTAATAGTTGTTTCTTCGCGTCTATTAATAACGAGCTTATTCAAATATTAGTAGTGTTGGATAAATTATGCATTTTTATACTTATAGGAAATATCAATGTCGGTCTTACGGGTGATTCTAATGTAGCTTAATCTCAGTTATTAAATTATGTCACCCGATTCACACAACATAGTCAATATACAACTGGTTGTGATTCATCAGGTGTTGGTTTAATATCAGCACTTATTTAAGATCCTATTACAAGTAAAAGAACAAAATCATCAAAAAATTTAATTTCTATGTATGTATATTCTTTTCAGATAAACTTGTCTTGATTTAGTCGATATAATTCAAAATGTTTAATTGAAGCACATCTTCAATGACTAGCTACACTTTTATCACGTTTTGATTTACTTTGGATAATTCAAGATAAAAATGATCGTGAAATTGATTTTAAATTAGTTCGACATATTGCATTCGTACATCAAACGGGTTGTCAATTAGAAATTGAAAATTTTACGGTAAAGACATTGAAATAATTTTTATTGAATTTTTTTTCTTATTTTACGCGATATTTAGAAAAATGTAAAAAAAATAACAATTAGTATTTGAATCTTTACTTGATCATATTCTAAGTGCTTATATTAAATTATGTAAACAAACACGTGCAAATAAACATATGACTTATTTGATCGTTATGAAGAAATGGATCTATGGCATATTAATCAACATCGTACAATAATGACAATTGTTTAAAAAAAAGACTTTTTTTTGTTTTTTTTCAAATAAATAATACTGTCGGATATGTATTTTGTTTTGTTTATATCGAAATAGTTAAATATATGTTTGGTTAATAAAAATAGAGTCAGATTTAATACTTTTTTTGAAGATTTGTATAATAAAAATACAATGGCCGATCGTCTTGCATGGACAGATGGGCAGTTACATTTTGGTGAAGTTACGATAACAACACAAGGTGGCGTTTCAATTCATGATGGATCGGATAAAGTGAGAAGAGACTGGAAAGTTTTCTTGATTTTATTAATATGCACATATATATATATAGACGGACTATCAAAAAGGTTTTGTTACATTAACTAGTCATCGAATTTTATGGAAAGATAAATCAGCACAGGTGATTTATTTAATTATGAATAAAATTCGTTGATGAAATTTAATTTTAGGTGGAACTAGCACTTTCTGCTATTGTATTTTGCGAAAAAAAAGATGCATTATTAACTTCAAAGTAAGATTTTGTGATGATTGAAATTTAGATTAGTATAATCGATGAGAAAATGGCAAATCATACTGAGTGATGACATATTTCAATATGTTGAACATACAAGACTATATACAGATTATCTCAATATTTATAATCTATTTATAGAGCTCGTCTTGTTTGTACTCTATCACGTGGTCAAGAACCAAAACGTCCAGGTCCATTTTCAAGTAGTCGTTATGATGAAATTCAATTTGAATTTCGTGATGGCGGTTGTAATGATGTAATTTTCGGGAAAAAACATTTCTTTTACTTCAATAAAAGTTTATTTTTTTCTTCTAAGTTTTTACGATTAATTCAAGAAGAGTTAGTTAAAAAACGTTGGTTATTACAACCAGTTAAACCATCAGCAACAACAACAGTATGTCTAAAAAAATCTTCGTTTAAAAACTTTTTTTGAAATTATTTAGAATGATCAATTACAACGTACAGGTATATCTGGTATTGAAAATCATTTAGCACATCAATTAAATGTTCAACATCAATCTATAAGTGGTGCTTTTCAAGATTTAAACAAACTTATGCAACAAGTCATAGCTGATGAATTAGTTTTTTGTTCTTCAATGATTTTTCTTTTATTTTAATTAGGCTAAAGAGATGGTGAGCATATCCAAAACAATTGCAAATAAAATTCAAGAAAAACGAAGTGATTTAACAAGTGATGAAGTAAATAATTTCATTTAATTTACTTTTTATAATATAAAATCAATTCGCTTCTAGACAATTCGTTTTCGATCTTATTTACTTAGCCTTGGTATTGATAATCCAGTGACTAAAGAATCAGCTGGTAGTCAATATCATACATCATTAGCTAAAGAATTAGCAAATCTATTAGAAAAAGCATTAAAAGTAAGAATAATTTCATATAAAAATAATAAAAATAATAATATTTTCAAGGATACAAATGGGATTATGACATTAAGTGATGCATTTTGTCGAATAAATCGTGCACGTGGTTATGAAGTATTATTACTCTTTAAATTTATTTGACATTGAAATATTTTTCTTTTTTTTATCTAGTTAATTTCACCAGAAGATTTGCTGAATGCAGCTGTTCATATGGAAGAATTAGGTTTACCTGTTAGGTTAGAAAATATTTTATAATAAGTTTTATTTTCGAAAAAAACAATGATTTTATATTACCTAGATTACGTGTGTTAAGCTCAGGTATCAAAAGTTTTGAATTGACAAATCGAAATGAAAAAAAAGATTTAGAAGAAATTGCCAGTCTTGTAAGTATTTATTGTATAAATATATCTGTTTTCTAAACAGAATTTTTTGAAAAAAGGTAAAAACAGTGACATCAATGAGTGCTGATCAATTAGCAAATCAACTTGGTATTCCTGTGATTGTTGCTAGAGAAAGGTATTGCTTGAAAATAAAAACAAAATTTGTTTTTCAGAATTTTTGTTTTCTAGATTGATTGCTGCTGAAACAAATAGTTTACTTTGTCGTGATGATTCAATTGAAGGACTTCGATTTTATCCGAATCTTTTCTGATTTCTATTTTTTTATTTTCATTTCTGTTTCACGGATGGGGGCATAATGAATGACCGCATTTTGTATCTTATTTTCTCATTATTTAATTCAGTATACTAAAAAAAAACTAAATATACCAAAACATGCAGAGTGTAAAACCTCTACAATAGACCACTCTTTTTACTCCGTCATGTTGTGGAATAAAGATCTAAGGCAACTAACTAAACCGTTTCATGCTTCGAATAGAATAATGAACAAGGATCTTCATTTACCTGCTTATCATAGTACAACTCAACCGAAATTGACTGATGACAACAACAAAAAACGAATAAGAAGGCATAAACTAGAAAGCTAAGTGCTTCTAAAAATGGTCTTATATCTTCCATTATTTTCAAATCTTGTAAACTATTATCGTATGACAATTATATTGAAGTTGCTCTTCTACATGCGAAATCAGAAAAGGCATTTGTCATTTTCTATTAAATGAACTTTCACTCAACGTCAAAATGTGATTGAACAAAATTCTCTGGTATATTTAGTCTTTTTAGTAATGCGAATTAGATGACGAAAAAATTTTCTTTTATATTCCATATTATCAGATATTTGTTTCAAAATAGTTGTCACCTACTTATCACATTATAAGAATTACAGATAAAGCTTAGATTTCGAATTAACTTCGTTAAAACTTGTTGCTTTTTTATTAAATAAATATTACATCATTAATTATTAATATATTTCATTTTTTTATATAAAAGCCTTTTGTGAAGATACATTAAGCTAATGCAAGTAGAAACTTCTGTTTCGAGATATAAGACATTTGTTATATGTCTTTTCGTACTCTTGTCAGCTTTCCTCTGACATCGTTACTTTTCTGTTATCCCTTGACAACATCCTTTACAAACAAAAAGGCTAAATACAAAATAAATTGTTTTTGTGTATGAATATCAAGAGAATATAACCCTAGAAGATATACTAGATATGTTTTGATGTATTTCTATGAGCCATATTTTACAATAAATAGCTATTATATATAAAAATCAAGAATAGTAAAAGAGTTATTTTATCGGTATTAATCGAAGGACGTATATTATGTATATAGGTAATTGAAGATGTCAGAATCGTATTCAAGGTTTTTGTTTTATGATGGTTTTACATAAAAAAATTACATGAAAAGAGAAAGTCAGTGTTATTACGTTGAGTTAAATCTATCATAAACAGATGGTCTTCTAATTTTGTTAGCCTCTATTAACGAGAAATTTCATTTGTTTGGAACATATCCAATTTCTCTTCATTCTAAATCATAAGTATACAAATACCATTAATTTTTAATGTCAGCTTTCTTCGTACATAATAATGATTCAATATTTAGATAATAGAATTTTAATTAACATTTTATTTCTATCTTTTATCAACAAATATGATAAAGACATTAGTATATATTTCTATCTTTGCTATTTTTGTCAAACATAAATCTGTTCTATATCATCAAAGCTGAAATGTACTCTTAGAATAATATAACTATTTTCATATTATGATATTATCTAAATAAATATTAATACTATAGATTTGCAATATCGAACAACAACAAGAAAAAAAATTAGTTTAGTTTTTAACCATTCACATCTTATTCTTACAACTATTTAAATACAAAAAGAAAAAACAATATGGATTATTGTATATATAATTATTGAAGAACAAAAAAAGTATTGACATTTGAAATATATATACATACACAATTGTCTTCGTCCAACAAAAATTTCACTGTTGTCAATGACAAAAACCGTACATAAATGAGCAGAAGACAACGAAAGAAAAAAAAAACAATAATCGTGAACATTCATATGTGTATAGAAGTTGTTGTTTTTTTTTCTTCTTCAACGATAATTTTGATTAATACAAAAAACGAATTTGTTATTGATCTATAGCCATAATGCATAGAATTGTTGTTGTTGTTTTTTTCTACTTCTCCAAAACATGCAAAATTTTCGGATAAATAAACAAAAGAAATTTGTTATGAAAAAAGAAAGAAAGAAAGAAACAGAAAAACAAAAAAGAAAGAAAAACAAATATTAAGATTTCTCGTTATTTTCTTCTCAGTATTCGACAAGCAGAGAAAAGAAGACAATAATATGTATGAGCTAAAAGTAAGAAGACATAGCAAAAATAAAGTTGTCTTATTTTTTGTTTTCTGTATGGAAATATGAAATACTTCATCGTCGTATGAGATCATCATCAAATGGATTAGTACCACGTTTAGGTGTAAATATAGTTGGTTGTCTATGATTAATATTTGGCGATTGAGCTTGTGCAGCTATTGAATAACCATAGGGTGAAAATGGATTTGTTGGATTATTACTTTGAACAAGTGCATTTAAATTTGAATTAAATGCATCATTTATTGTTTGTGGTAGTGGTGGTATTGGTGTAGATTCATATTGTTCGTGCACATTATTATCATTGTTATTAATAATAGATGTTTGATTTGTTAACCAAATATTTGATGATATATTTTCATTTGGATTTGTATAATTTGTTGATGATGGAATGAATGAAGGTTTTGTTGTAGGAAGAGAAAAATGATTTATTTCATGTGTATAACCATTTGTATTTGTTGAATCATATAATGATAATTTACTAAGTTCATTTATTGTTTGTACAGGTTCAACTTCATCTTCTTCTCGAACTGAAAAACAAAAAAATAATTTATTGCAAAGAAAAAAGAAGAAGAATATAATAATATACTTGTGCTTGTAGTTGATTCTTTATATTTAGCTTCTTGTATAGATGGTAAATCACTGGGTCTTAATGAACTTTGTCGTTTAAAAGTACCTAATGCTGCTTGATTAAGTTCACCTAAACGAAGTGATGCACTTCGTATAAATGCATCGGAATCCGTTCCTTTCGGTCGTGGTCTTTCAATAACACCATTCTTTTGATTAGATGAATTGATTAGATTTGATGTGGTTGTTGTATTATATGGTATTGGTTCTATGTATAGAATATTTAAAATAAGAAAAAAATAATCAATAAAACTAACCAGCAATAATAGCACTTTGAGGATCAATAAGACGTTCTGTTATTGATGTTGTACGAAATGAACCAAAACGTGTAAAACATGTACCATTTTGTGTATATTCAACGGTAACACTACATTCACGATCACGTTTTTGTTTTCGTTCAAGACATATTTGAAAAGCACAACCAACAGCATGACTTAAACGTTCACCCTATATAACATATATATATATATCGAATTATATTCTTTTATATTTTTGGAATTATACCGAATCTTTAATAGCAAGAAAACCATGACAAAGCCATCGACGAGTTGTACCATCTCGACAAATATATGCAAAACCTTTTTCATGATGACGATCAGGTGCACAAAAAGAAACTTTTTCAATTGTTTGATCAACAATAAGACCCTATTAGAAAAACAAAATATATAAATTTTCTTCTATTAATTTAACAAACCTTATTTGTTTCATCAACAACTCGTAGAGCATCACCAGATATATATAAAATAGCTTTAATATGTTTACCTTTTTGCTACAAAAAAAAAGAGAAATAATAAAAATGAATCTTTTATTAAAACACAAAAAAAAATTATTATTAATAATACATACATTTAATAAAGCTTGAATAGCTTGTTCACAGACATGCATTCCTCGGGATTCTTGTACTTCAACACTTCCAAGATACTAAATATAATCACATTTATTATTTAAATGAGATTTTTAATTAATTTTTTTTTAATCTATTTACCTTAACATTAAAATTACAAGCACCACCACGTACAGCTTTTTCATCATCTTGCCATTGTGGTGGTTTATTTTCAGTAGTTGCTGTTGCTGTCGTTGTATTATTAGCAGTTTTTGCATTTGTCGTTGAATGATTATTATTATTATTATTATTATTATTAATATTATTACAATTTGGATCATTAGCTCGATTGCCTTTTTTTCTACTACGAAAACTTAATGTTCGTCTTAATCTATCCATTTGTCGATGTTTTTTTCTTCGAACTGTTTCAGTATCTGGTGCTATTGGTAGAGGTTTTGGTTGATCGTCTAAAAATATCATATAGAGTTCAGTTTTTCTTTTGTTCTTATTATAAATATACTATAGAAAATCATGCAAGCAGAAGCAACATGCAAATATTTTTTTTTAGATTAAATCAAGACCAGTAGATGATGTATTTTGTTTTAGTTTTGAAAATATAACTGATCACCGAGCATGCAAAAGTATCCCAATTCCATATTATATATTAATAGAAGCATTGAATGATTAACTGATTAGTTTTATTTTAAAATGCTAAGCTGATTTTTACCTGATACTAAAGCTGGTGCTCCATTTGCTGGTGGCACCGATGATATCGGTTCATGTTTTTTACGTGAATGTAAACGGCGCGAAGTCTCAGCACCCATATTTTATTTTTCGTTTCTTTCTTTTATTATTATTATTATTATTAATCTACTTAAGGAAATCAAGGGATTTTGGAAGGATATTTACAAACTAATAATATCAATCAAAACAACAAAAATAATAAATTAAACTATTTCAAAAAATCGAAATAAATCACATACCAAATATGAATATATATATATATTTAGATTTTTTAAATTCAATAATATCCAATCATCTAAAATATTAGTAATATATTTATCGAAGTGGAAAAAAACATCTATGAGATAAGCGAGAAAAACGTCGAGATATATTCTTCGTCATAATCAGATAGATGTCTCGGAAAGAAGAACAAGTAAAAGGAAAAAAAAGAAACAGAAAATTGAAAGATAGAACTAACCCTGATCGATAATATGTAAAAAAAACAGAAAGAAAGAAAGAAGTACATAGATACAAAATGTCACTATTGTAGAAAACTAATGCATTGTATTAGAAATAGTATTCTATCATGTAAATGACCTTCTTCGATAAAGACGTGAAGGATCGTCACCCTTGATAAATATCTATGAAAAAACATTAATACACGTTGTCTCGGTTCTCTTTTTTTTTTCCTATTTCGTTTTTAAAGGCTTTACATTCTTTGTGTATGCCTGTATAAATGTGTACTCTGTTTTTCAGTTAAATCACAAGAAGAAAAACAAATATAATTATGACGCATTGAACAGACATAGTATCGCTAGCAACAAAAAAAATTCTCGTTTTTCTCAAAAGTTCTTTTATCCCTCGAAGTCAAAAATAAATAAAAATGATAAGGAATAAACAGGATAAGATAAGAGTTTTAGGGATCGCCACTAGCATCGAGGCATTTTAAATAAATGTGGCGCCGCTTGAACTATATTTCTTGATTGGTTCGTTCGATATACGAATAAAATAATTTGATGATATTTATTTTTATTTTGTTTGTATTTATCATTTGATTAGCAATGACTGATGAAAATGAAATTGATAATGAAGCAAATAATATTGATATTAACGGAAAAATTGAGAATTATCATCAACCACCATTAAGTAAATATGAAATATAATGTTCTAAATATTTTTATTGTTGTTTTTTTCTTCTTGTTATATTAGAAATGATATTAGAAACAAGTAATAATTCAAAAATTGAATGTAGTGTTCATAATGTAATTCGTAAACATTTTCTTGAACAACGATCAATAACATGGAAACCAATTAAAGTTGAATTAATTGTTAATACACAATTAACAGATGACTTTTTTGGTAAATATTATATTTTTTAAATATTAATTCTTCTATTTTTTCGATTCTATCAATTAATAATATAAGAATATATATAGTAAGTACCTATTCGCTCTTTACTTTTCTCAAAATTCTTCTTATTATTTATATTTGAGATATATATATTTATTTTGTTAATTATCACAGATAAGAGCAATGTATGCATATAATTTTTAAGAATAATTTATCTATATTTCACGTGATATTTTTAAATTTAAGTACTTATATTTGTGTGTGTATATGCACTATAAATATTTAATATCTGATCGTTCGTTTCTATATTATTTAATTAGATAAAATATTTAAATTAATCTCTATTATCTTGACAGTTATATTATCGAGCATGTTGATCAATATTAATCGAAAGAAATATGTTTATTGTATAATTTATACTAATAAAAAAAAACAACGTTTACTAATTGGAATCATTTTCTTTGCATGTTTTTCATATAGAAAGAATAGATTTTATATATCAAATTTCTTTTTCTGATGGATGATAATCATTTCCTTAGTATTCAAATAAAAGACAATTCAATATGTGCATGATTAAATTAGAGTGAAGACAATTAGATATTTTCTCTTAATCGATAATTTCATAATAAAATTATCTTCTATTGCTTTTTTATAGGTGTATTGCATGTATATTGTCTTTCTTTACATATGTTCGACTTAATGAAAAAATATCTCACCCTGACAGCATTAGAATGTGTGTGTACATACATGTTGTTTTACTTCATTAATTTGCGTATAAATATTATAGGAGTGATAGCATGCGCTCTTCTTATAACATATATATATATTTATAGAAAAATTCTTATTCACAATTACACCATGATGTTTCTTTCTATTGTATCAGTATTGAATTTACTGCTTGTTGATATTTTATCTGCCGTAAAAAGACAAACGTAGTTAACTTTGATAATTGTTTACTCATTATATTTGAAATGAATTATTTCATGTTTATTATTAGAATTCTGACCTTATTGACATATTTCTATAATTGAATATGCCTTTGAAATAATATTATTATTCTCTTCCTTAGTTTGATATGATGTTTGATGAAAAAAACAACCTATGCTTGCTTTTATTTTTACTAAATTTTATTTTGTTAATATCAATTTTGAGTTTTTGGTTTTTGTTTTATTTTATTATTTCTATTTTTAGCAATACGAAAAAAATTTGAAAAAGCATCTGATGGTAATCGATCTGAATTTGAAGAACATTATGGATTTTTAATAGAAAATGATAATCAAATATCTGAGATATGTAATAATGGTTATCATTGTACAGAAACTCCTTTCAATGTTCTAGGTAAATATATACATATCTCTATATGATTTTCATTATCTCTTTCTACTGATTCATCTAACGTATTGGCAAGAAAGAAAAAAAAAATCTAAATATTTGCTCTGAGCTTTTATGATATTTTTTTCTTAACAAAAATAACTTTAATTCTTCTCATGTGTGAATGTTCATATATATGCTTGCTTATCTTTTCCCTTATCCCCTAAAGAAACGCACACACACACACATATTATCTATATGTATGATCTAGTATATATGTATGTAATAATTTGGTAAAAATTTCTTATATTTATTTTGTAAGTATATCTATATCACTATTCATTCAATGTAGATCGCTCTATCTATCTATCTCTATATTTCTTTCACTCACCACTTGTTTTATTTCCTTATATTTCGCTCTAAATGGTTGTTGAATAAGCCGCGCAGCTATCCATATATATATATATCGGTTATTGTTTTTGTTTTTGTCAAAAAATTCATATAATAATTATTAAAACAGCATAAAAAAAACCATGCTCTCACTGTGCATCATTATTATTGATTGTGATTCGATTCTACTAATCCTTAGATAAAATAATAATTTAGTAGCATCTTTTTTTCTTTTGAATAAAAAAAACATCCTTTATGCTATTGTTGTGTATTTACACATTTTTTTTTCGTTTATGTGTCTTTATATTATTGAAAAATTTTGTATATTTGCACCTAAAAATTTGATTTCTATATGCACATTCTTCACTGATGGTTTTTATATATATATAAATATCTATTACTAACCAAAAAAGAAATGATTATTGCAGTCGATGCACGTTTTAAAAACTACTGTTTTGTAGAATATGCTTGCATGTGCTCTTTGTTTTTCTTTTTTTTTTATCTCTCTTGCTGTTAATTTGTGGTTTTTTTTCATAATTGGTATATGGGTCATCTTACACATATATTACATATTGATATAAATGCATACTTGCATGGGGCTTTGTTATTAAATTTGTGTTTTTTGACTTTTTCCTCTTTTTTTTTCTGTATTAAAATTAGATTATTTGTGTGTGTTTTGGTGTTTTTAAATATTCGTTTAGGAATTGTCAAGATATTCTGTTCAAATGGATAGATATGTTACAAATAACAACGACAACGTGAGTTTCGAGCAATGACAAAATGCTCTGGCTTATTATTTACCATGTTTCTCCTACTTGTTCTGCCTTTCTACCCATGTCAACCGCCGTCGCATACACCAATTTTTGATGTAATATATATCACTTGGATTTATCATCATCTAGCTAACACATTTATGTATTTATATACTACACTTAGCTTGCGTCTTTTAATATTTAGTTGTGATTAATATGTGCTATTTCTATCTTTCTTCTGCTATTCTCATGGGTTTTAAAATATGTATGAATGACGTAGTTTTGTATCAAAATGATTCTCCTTGAAACCTATTCATATATATATCTTAGTGAAAAAAAATCCAGATTTAAAAGAATATAGATCTATTAGAACCATATAGAAGAATATTCTTTTGGGTAGATTGAAATGAATGAAAATATATATTCATACATTATTCTTTCCGAAAATCTCGAACTATTATTATTATTATCGTTTATTGACCGTGCAATATTTCGATATATTAATAATTGTTGCTTATTTGGTTGCTCATTGTTATCAATTGATTATAGATTATAAATTTTCAATTGATGTCCTTATATATATATATGTTTAGTAATTCTTTTTCTATTTTGTCTATGCATGCTTCGTACTTATATTTAAATATATATATATATCAGATTAATCGATTATGTGATGATTTGAATTAAAAATTGTTTTTATTATAATATCTGCTGTTATGATTATAAAAGAAATACATGCACAATAATGAGAAAAAAAATAAGATTGAAATTTGAACATGCTTATTATTGAAATGCATGTTGTTAATATCTTATATTATTATTACTAGTTTCTTTTTTCTCTAATATACTTTCATTTTGTAATCCTATGATCGTCGTCATTATGTTTTCTGTTTCAGTTGGGTCTCTCTTCTTTAATCGTTTATTATTACTTCCAATTATTTTTTTTTTCGTATTTCCGTATATTTTAATTGTTGTTTCAATGTTGCCTGTTCGTGTGTGTCTATATTTTAGGCCATAGTAAATGTGGTGTATACGTTTGCAAATATGCTGATGTATGCATTCGACAAGCTAGTGTTCGTCGAACATGGGAAGGAAGCGTAACAATTAAAATGCTCATTTTTAAGGTTAGTTTAAACAAGAATTATTATTATATTACTATTTATATAATATACTAGATTGTTGAAGGCAAACAAACAGCTGCTCTTGTTCGAAAAGGACCTAAATTACAACCTATAGCACCAACACCGCTATTTACAAGTCATAGCTCTGTAATTACACCTAAAGAAACTGATGATCTTGAAAAACAATTTGATCAATCACAAGTATAAATAAAAGAAATATTTTTCAAAATTACATTTTTTCTTTTATGCATTTTAGATTTTTTTATATGAATTCGAAGGTCGAGAAGCAGTTAAACGACCTCATCATTGTTTACCTTATGCTATTGTTAGTCTAATACAAGATGGTAGGTGTAAAACTTTTTAATATAATTATGTAAAATTGAATAATTGATAATAATTATAGGAAGTCAATGGCCAACAAACTTTGATGATTTAGATATAGTACCTGATATATTAGAAACAGATACATTAAGAGTTGTTGCACAAGCTGATGATCCTTCATTACAAAATAAAATGAAAGAAAATGTTGAATTAGCTGAAGCAGCAACACTTGCACTAGAACATATTTATGAAGAAGAACCACCACCACCATCATCATTACCAATACCAGTAGAACCACCACAACAAGAACAACAACAAGAACAACAACAACAACAACAACAACAATCACCTATACAAACAACAGATACAGAAACAATACCAACGATTGTAACATCAGATAATACATCAAGTGTTATAATCAATGGAATTGAACCATCAGTATTACCTGTAATGTTAAATGATAATCTATCAGAAACATCACCACCTTCAACAGTAGTATTAATAAATAATACTGATGGTTTATTAGATTCTACAATACAACCACCACCGCCACCACCACCATCATCATCACCATCATCATCTTCTTCTTCGACAGTACAAACAGTTTCAACTGCTAAAACACCAGTTACAGTAGTAACAACAACGCCAGCAACAACACTACCATTATCTCATCAAGCATCTGCTATACAAGCAGCCTATCGACAACAAGCAAGTCTTTTAGGTGCACTTCCAACAGCAGCTGCTCTACGAACAGCACCAGGTGCTGTTTATGCAACCACAGCGGGTCTTTCTAATGGTCTTAATGGACAAATAGTTTACGGTGGTAAGAAATATTGTTTTCTTTAATACAAACTATTCTTTAATCATTTTAGGTGTTTCATTAGATGCACTTCGTGGTTATCAAACGGCATCTACTGCTGCTGGTAGTCCCTACGTATTGGCTACACAAGGTGGTCAAACAATACAACAACCAGCACTTTATGCAGCTCAATTACAAGCTGTTGCACAACAACAACAACAACAAGCTCAAATGGCTGCAGCAATTCAACAACAGCAACAACAACAACAACAACAAAGTTTAATGAGTGGTATTCCAGCTGGTTGTATGCTTGTACGTACAGCAAATGGTGGTTATGCTTTA